TAGCCAGATAGTTTCTGGGGGGCCATGTGCTGACCGGCCGAGTCCAGTAGCTGGGCTGGCCCGACTCCTCCCCTCCGGGCGCGGCCTCCACCTAACTCTCCCGCCTCCCTCACCTGCCGCCGTCGCCGTAGTTGCTGCTGCCGCCTGCCGGTCCTCTAGCTTCGACAAAGAGCCGCCCACCCCGTAGTCCTTCCGCTTCCTGCGGAAGAAATGCCTCTCTAGCCACTAGACCCGGAACTGTACTCTATGGTGTGCCAAGTACTTGCGCAAAGCACAGGAAGTTCCCAGCAAGCCATGCGTGTCACCATGGCAACCCCACCAAAACAGCACTGCAAGATGCGGCGGCGTTATCGAACCATCCTGTAACCTGTCCCCATAAACGTACACAGAGTTCCTCTGCACTAAGCACCCGCTCCAGGGCCCGAGGCCGCACCCCACGGACCTGACTCTGTAGTCAAGTTGCCTAGCTTCAAGTCACTACTGACAGGGCACGCACAAAGATAGGGTATCTCCACCCAAGGAACCGTGAACATAAAAAAAAAAAATATCATAACACAAGACGATTTGATTCTTCAGCTAAGACAGAAGAGATGATTTATTGTACACGTTACATTCAGCCACAACAGAACAGAATTAGTCCAGAATGTCACAGGTCCAGGACAAAGGGTCAAAACGAACTGAATTGGTACAGCAAGGTGGGTCTCAGCTGTTCGTAGCGTTCGTCGAATGATGCGATGGAAGTTCTACACCCACTGAGCCTTAAGTTCTAGATAAGTCAACTTGCACCAGTGTCGCGGCCTCCGGCATTCTACATTCCTGCTGCTGTGGCTTCCGTGGGTGCACACGCTAGCCTTTACTTGGACCTCTGCCTCATCTTTCTTCTTTTGCGTTTCAGCCTGAAAAGTAAAGATACATGAATACAACTCATGTCTCCAAATCTTAGTTTTTTCTCCCACTTGATCGATTATATGTACACATTAACACATGGGATGGTAAAAAGTTATCCCCAATTTTTTTCAGCCGTCCTTTGTACTGGCACACTCCAACATACCTGCGCATTCGCTTCTTCCTCCACTGGCAACCGATAACAGAGAAAAAGAGTAACAGATGAGTAATTTCAGTAACAGGTTATGCAGGAATATCCAAAGCACTATTTAGGACAAGTAAGGTTGTTCGAATTTGAACAACCTTGGTCGTTGCACCCGCATCAATTTGGATCCCGATATAAACCTCGCATCTCACGTGGAGTCGTACCGACGGTATCCCTCCCAATATCATCTCTTCCCCAACATTTCTGCTTCCCCCCAGATAATATTCTTCACATCCCAGCAGCTCTTGGATTCCTTTGAGAACCAAAACGGTTCAGGAATCATGACGGACTTCCCTAGTCTGAATTTCCCCCACTCGCCAATTTTACAGCCTCAGCTCACTCTTCAGGACCGCTCACCTTGGCTCTCATGGCTCGGAGTCTTCTACGGGAAAAGAAAAAAGAGCTACAGTTAGTTTGGTGGGATGATGATACGCACAGCGGCCAGATGTTAACAGATTGTACGCAAACTTCAGAGCCACGAAAAACCTACCTAACAAGATGGCGCTAAGGCCAAGAGAGAGTCACAGCCTCTCTTTCTGCTATTTTATGGAACGCCTCGTGTCGTCACTTCCGTTGGCCAGCCCACCCGGGGGCGGGACTGCCTGAGCAGAGTAACAATGGTCTCAGGTAACTGGTTATTTGTTGAGCTGATGCAATCTCGACGCTCACTTGTTCTCTTGTAAAACAGTATTTAGAATTATATACCAGTTCCTCGTCACTCAAATTTCATTACGCTGACACGGAATCATTTTACATGACCATTTTTCAGTGTGGGTTCGGATGAGAAAAAGATAGTGACTTCCGACTTCCCCCTCGTTGCTTCATGGGAATTGCAGTTAACTGGCGAAATCCTCCATTTTACTGTCGGCTGTACTAAACAAAATTTCTAATTTGTCTTAATAGGTTGCCTTACTTTCTAAACGACTAGAGGGATGTTTGATTTCGAAACTTTAGGTGCTAGATGCTGTTGTTAAGTGCCGTGAAGTCGGTTCAGACTCTTAGTGACTTTAGGGTTTTCCGAGGAGCGATTGGTGAGGTTGAACCGTTAAACTTGTGGTTCAAAGCGACCTTGCAGTCTAGTACATTAACCAGCAGCGCCACACCAGGACTAGATGCTAGATCATGAAAAATGCTGATCCCTAAAACGTGGTAGGGGGAAAGCTCTCACTATTGGGGCTTAACATTTCCCCAAAACTCAGAATGGAATAGCTATTAGGAAAAAGCTGTTCCTAAAATTCAGAAAATGGAATAGCAGGCAACCAAAATCATTTCCCAGAGTCCTGGTGTGGCGCTGTGGGTTAATGAGCCCGACTGAAAAGTCAGTTTGAACTGCATGGTCGGCGGTTCAAACTCATCATCTGCTCCTTGGAAACCCTACACAGGGCGACTCATGACACAACAAAATCATTTCCCACAATGCCTTAAGCAGAAATGTCAATAGCATTCCAAGCCACAAAGCCAGGAATTTGTTAACATTTCATTAATCCTCTCCCTGTTAAGGGCCAGACTTATAATGAATCCTGTATAGAGCGTTGTTGTTGTGTTGTTAAGTGCCATTGAGTCGGTTCCGACCCATAGCGACCCTGTACAGGGTTTCCGAGGGTGTAAATCTTTACGGGAGTAGAAAGCCTCATCTTTCTCCCGCGGAGCAGCTGGTAGTTTCGAACCGCTGACCTTAAGGTTCGCAGCCCAATTCGTAACCACTACGCTAATAGAGCGTGGTTGTGGTGGTTATGTGCTGTTGAGTCGGTTCCGACCCATAGCGACCCTGTACAGGGTTTCTGAGGCTGTAAATCTTTACAGGAGCAGAACGCCTCATCTTTCTCCTGCGGAGCAGCTGGTAGTTTCGAACTGCTGGCCTTAAGGTTCACAGCCCTATTCGTAACCACTACACTAATAGAGCGTAGTGGTTACAAATTTGGCTGTGAACTGCTAGGTCAGCAGTTCAAAACTACCAGCGGTTCCGCGGGAGAAAGATGAGGCTTTCTGCTCCCGTAAAGATTTACAGCTTCGGAACCCCTGTGCAGGGTCGCTGAGTCGGAACCCACTCCACAGCACTTAACTAACCAAAAGGTGCAGTTTAATCCCAATAGTTGCTCTGCAGGTCAATGATGTGACAATCTACTTCAATCTAGATTTAATCTTGGAAATCCTCTGGGCAGTTCTAGTCTGGAGTTGGGACGGACTCAACAGTGAGTAGGTTTAAGTAATGTAGTATTGTCATCAGAGTCCCTGGCGTGATGCTGTAGGATAAGCACTTAACTGCTAACCACAGGTCAGTGGCTCAAACTCACCAGCTGCTCTTTGGAAAACATATACAGGGTCACTGAGTTGGAAATGACTTGATGGCACTAAAGGAATTGTCACCAGAGTATGATTAGCTTTTGAAAACAAATACAGGGGCTTCAAAGTTTGTGGAGAAATTCCATTATTTTTCAATCCCATTTTCCCATGAGTTCTTTGAATCCCCCTCATAGATATATTTTTAAATTCAAGCAGAATTTTTATTTAGTTTTCAGTAGTTGATTTCCTACTAATCTGTAATATATAAGGAGACCTATGGTCTTTTCGTTTTAGTATCTGGTCAGTAGTGCCTCACATGTAGTTAAGATATTTAAATGTTACATGATGTCGAGTTGGTTCTGATTAATCATGACCCTTTTAGGGCTTCTGAGGCTTTAAATCTTTGTGGAAATCTTTAAATCATTACTGATCCTATGGCGTCACTAGGCTCTCCTTCAGCAAGATATTTAAATGTAATCAACAAATAATCTGCAAGGCTCTGAAGCAACATAGAACAGCTAAAGAAATGCTTGAAAATGATTAATTTAGCCTCCTGAGATTATTACTTCAACAATAAAAACCTAAAGTCATCCTTCCTGGCTTTTTAAATCAATACTTCATATAATGTTTTTACAGTATATATTAACTGTCCTGGTCTTGAACAAAGTGTCAACAGCAAAAGGTACATTTGTATTTCAGAAAATTAAATCACCATCAAACTCCCATTTCCTACAGGTATTTTAGTATGTCATAATTCCCAGGATTTGTTTTACCCAGAAAGGCAAGAATACTAGTATGACACTGTATAAAGTTCAAACTGATTATCATTCACTGAATGGACACTCCCCCACCTCCACCAAAATAAGAGCAGCATAAAAATGCACATCAGTATGACCAAATCCAAATTTATTTTAATGCCATCTCATTTTCAATGTGTTTTAAAAAACCTCATAAGTTAGTGGGAGCCCTCCTTTCCTGTGAAAGCATGCCAGAGGTACTGAAATTCATCACCTTTCCCTCCAAACCCCCAGCAATTCAATGCAAGTCCACAGCTTCAGAAAGCCAGGAGTTGGCTTTTCAGTCAGTCTGCTCCTCTGGGTCCTGGACTTTCTTTCAAAAAGGAGAGGTCAGAATATCTCAAATGGGGAACAAAATCACAGTTGAGCTTCCAGCTCAGATAAGATGAAGCAAAGGAAGATCTCACACTAACTCTAAAGAAAAGGACATAGATGAAAAAATCCTGTAGAATAAAAATGGCTAGATTTACAAGTGAGGATTCATTTGACAGATGAGCATACCTTGGTAAATGCAGGCTCCAGCTCCTAAAAATAGGAGGGGCCTTACCAGATAGCTTAGACAGTAAGAATCTCTCATATGTGAATAAAAACAATTTGAAGAGTGGCTCTTCTATTTTGAGGCCAGATAAAATACATCTTAGGGGAATGAAGAAAGAGGAAAAAGCCCCAAACACATGATAAAATATTGACATTAAAGTAGCATAAAAAATCTCTCCGTTTTTAGCGGTAGTGGCTAATTTAGACTCCTTCCTGTTCTGCTATAGGGCCACAAATCTTGACCAAGCATAGTAGTAGAAAAAGGCTAGAAAGAGGGGCTTGAAGACGATGGATTTTGACTCCTGATTTTATTATTCAATTTCTTTTTTCTATTGAAAGTAGTCTTCGGTGTCTGGGAAGCCTGGCCTCCCAAGACCAGAGTCAGTTGGAGCTGGTTGTGTGGGAAAGGAATGGGTTGGGGATAGGGACTGGGGCAGGGAAACCCCACTCTGCTGGTGGTCCTGGATGAAAAAGACGAACTGCACTTCAGAGAGCATGGGGTGTGGTGGGAAAGGGGATGAGGCAGGAGCGGCAAGCTGGGGAGATTGGGACCAACCTCAGTCCCCAGCTTCATTCTCTTCTAATGTTTCTCCACTGGTGGCATTCTCTGCAGTCTTAGAGGCCTAATTTGGGGAAAAGAGAAAGAGAAGACCTGTTAGTTTCCAACTGCTTGGGGCAGTGTCTGAAGAACCAAGGACACAAATACCTTAATCATCTAGATCACGGCTGAGATGTACGGGGATAAGGACTTACAGAAATAGTTACCCCACCACCACCCAGGAAAGTGGATAAAGGTTCACCCTGCCACGTAGGGATGATCATTAATGCACCTTCTTTTTTTTCTTTTTCTGAGTTTTCCGGCTTGCAGAACTCTGAAGGAGAGCCTAAAGAATAAGACGAAGAGGCAACACATTTGAAGAATGTGAAGTAAACACTAAGGACTATTCTCAGTGTTGTAGCTCTTTTCAGAACTTTGCTGGCATTTCACCTTTGTTCCCAGGACAGGTGCCACGTCCTCCTTACTTTCAACCTCACACTAACCTTCAGTTCTGCATCCTGGACCTCCATCTCAGACTTGTAGAGGTCAGGCTTGAAGGGACCACTGGTTATCCTCATGGGGCCATTGGGCATGAGCAAAACTGTAAATTTAAACTGGGCAACAAATTCACCTATGGGAAAAACAATTGTCTTGATAAAATGTTCCTCATATTTAGCTCTTTTCTCAACATTAAAGGGATGGAAGAGATACAATAGAATTAGGGGGTCTAAAATCAAACGTTCTTTTTAGAACTCACCCTCCTTCTCATAGAGAACATTAAATGGTTGTAGCAATTCATGTTTGGCGCACTCCACCACACCCATCCGGGCCTTCTTCTCATCTTTAAATGCTCTGGGTAGAGGAAGAATCAAGGTATCCTTAACTCCCCATCAAATCTAAACATTTTATATTTTAAAGCGCTCCTAATGTTAGGTTTATGCTTTGGAGTGCTTTCCCGCTTTGATTAAGGCAAGGGGGAGAGGGCTAGGAGAGGAAAGTGTTCCTGGAGGCTGGTCTGTGGAGTCAGACTGCTACGTGCAGTACCTTAATGTAAATGGCATGGCATCAAAACGTCTTTCCACCTCACTGAAGAAGGCACGTGAAGTCTTCATTTTCAGGCCATATTGTTTAGAAGGGTCTCGTTTATAAATGGTGGTTCTCTGTCCTGCATCTTTGGCCTAAAAGAGGACGTGAGATCACAATTGGGCCTGTCTTCCAACACACGCTTAGTCATTATTCTTAGCTAGCTCTGGTAAGCCTCACCTTGCCCTCTCCTGAGCTGACAAGAACATCCACAGCATATACTTCATGTACTTCAAATTCAGCTTTTTCATGGTCCTTCCTACAAGGAATAGTGGTAACAATAACTACCAAGAGAAATAAGCCGTTCTAGGAGTTTAGAGTAGAAGACAGATGAGGTTAAGTTGGGAGTATGGAAGAAAAAGTTGATTATTAGTCTAGTATGATAAAAGGCACCTACTTCTGCTGGTCTGTGGGATTCTGGATAATGGTTTTTTCTCCATCAATGACATGCTGCTTCAATTGGTGTGACAGCATACCTATAGACAGGATAAAGTCTGTGGTACCAGCCAGCTGAAAACCCAAAAGGTTTCTAAATCCACCCAACTTAGTAGTTTGATGGCACAGGCAATGAGAAAGTGCCTGGCTCTGGAAACACAAGGCCCTGAGGCTTCAGTGAAAATCTTATTAACTCAAGCACTCATCCTTAGGCCTTCACCCTGTTACCCAAGGTCTCACCTTCTATTGGTGTGCAGTTAAATGAGTGGGCAACTTTGTTCCAGGCTTCTGTTACTTGTGTGTTCTAGAAGCAAAGGATAAAATAAAAAGGTTAGACATTAGGTCCTAATTAGTTCCCTACCCAGACAATATGAAACACTGAAGAGCTGAAAGTTCTAGTATCCTCTATTCACTGTAATGATTCTATGTTTTGTTTTGTTTTTTCCCCAATTCATAATTCTATATCCCTGTTGTTGTTAAGTGCCACTGAATGGGTTCTAACTCATAGGGACCCTGTATAGGATTTTCAAGGAGAGGCTGGTAGGTTTGAACCAGTGACCACGTGATTAGCAGTCTAGTGCTTTTCCTATAGTGTCACACCAGGACTCTTATCTACACACTTGCATATAATTTTACAAAGCTCTTTTACAAACTTGGTCTAAACATATAACAATTCTGGGCAAATCTAAATCCCAATCTAGAAATAAGCAGTGAAAAACTAACCATAGGTATTATTTGCTGCCAGGTACTATTCTAACCATTTTACATGATTTTAATTGCCACAAGTCTATAAGAATAGGCACAATTTTATTTTCCCCATATCACAGGTGAGGAAATTTGAGCTCAAATTTATTTTTAAACAGTAAAGAGCAGGAATGGGGTATGAACTCAGACAGTCTGATTATATAAATACAAATGAAAAATAATAGCTAACTTATGTACTTAGTATATATACCAGGCACAGTGCAAAGTACTTTATAATATTGTAGGAAGTAGATTACCATGATAGAGAAACTAAGACACATAAAGGTTAAATAAAAATAATGCAATTACAACAACAGCAGTCCAACTGACTAGTACAAAAACAAGCAAGTTGTTCCCCAGGAAGCCATCAAGCCAAGTGGTCAGGTCCCCTCAAGGAAAACCCCCTTCCAAGACTGAAACTCAAATGGAATACACTAGCAGACATAGGGTCCTGTTGCTAATCACACTGGTTACCAATAAGAAGAGGGGGAAAAACAGCAATGAAGTTGTGAACTGAGTCTGACTACATTCAATATACTCCTGTTAACCTGGATGGAGACCTAGTTAACCAGCAGTATGAGGAGACCTGGGGACTCCTGGGCCCAGGGGCAGGGACATGGCCCCAGAGGACTAGAACAGAGTGTGAAGCATCCAGCTGATATAAAGAGAGGGGGGATGCACAAGAACACCTGCATTTGCAGACAGTACCCATTTGACCTGGCATCAATGGCTGGATGATCAGAACACGACTAGAGTAAGAAAGAAAAGGAAAAAAAAAAAGGATAACCCACTATAAGTGGGTGATCTTGACCTATGCTTGTGGATGCAGTATGACAAAGGAGCTGACAAATCTTTACAATGGGATCATTCCCACCCCCTTGGTACATAGGGTCGACAGGGTGGGGGAACTTAGACATTGGCTACCCAAAATGGGGGGATTACAAAGGTAAGAAGTGACTGGCTTATAAGCTTTCAATAGGGAACCTAGATCCAGCAGATACAGGGAATTGTTTCCAACCTGTCTGGATGGGGTTGATAAAAGGTGTGGGAGAAAGGACTCTTGTGGTTCATTCAACAGGGAATGATTGCTCTCAGGTCTGACAGTGAGTGTTGGAAAGGTAAATGTAAATGTTTGGTAACAAAAGGAGGGGAGCAGCTGATTTTGCAGTGCAGGAGCAGAGATACCTGGAACCATCAAGGGAGAAAAGCAAAGTGCTGTGTCATGAGACTTAGGGACACTAGAGATGGAGGCAGAGGCAATGACATGGACAGAAGGAGCAGCTGGGGACTCTGGACTCAGGGAGGGAGAGGGGTTGTGTGCTGGCAGCTGGGAGGCAGGAGTATGGGGTGTACCCTTTGGTTGTTTGATGATGCATGCATGGGGGATTGTGATCATTGCAATGAAACAAAGTATGATAGGATGAATGTAAAGATGTTCACCCATGTAAACCAACATAATTCACAATAAAAAAAATGCAATAAAGGAATAATTCATTAAAAGTGAAAAGGAAATAAGAGCACAGCACAGGAAAATGGACAGTGAGTCTATTGAAATTTGC